TGTTTCGAAACTTTCCCCATCTGATGTATTATTTTTGAACTGATTTCTGAATTTTCTGAAAATTTAAGTTTCTCCAATTCATTTTCTCGAATTTTCCGTTGTCCCGAACACTTTTAATTTTTGCGCAACATTTTTATGGTAATTAACTTTTATTTTCACGTTTTTCTTCACTTAATATTCCATACTGTTTTAATATTAATTGATTTTTATTTAAGCTTTTTTTAAATCATCTTGACTTTTGCACATTAGTTTGTTATTAATTAATGTTTATGTCCACGTTTTTTTAACCATCTTATTTTTTTGCTAACTATTTTGATATTAATTAACTTCTATTTCCGTGTTCTTTTAATCACTTTAATTTTTACATGCCGTTTCGATATTAATTAATTTTTATTTCCACGCTTATTTACTTATTGCTTTTTATTATTCTCATTCACCGTAATTCTTGCATGCCGTTTTGATGTTAATTTTTATTTTCACATTTTCTCATTCACCTTCTGTTTTGCATGCTATTTTGATACTAATTAACTTTTATTTTCACGTTCTTTTCTCATCTTAATTTTTGCATGCTGTTTTGTTAACCCAATTTATTTATTGTTTTTTTTTTTTCATTAACTTTTATTTCGTATTTTTTTTCTCACCTTAACATTCGCATACCATTTTGATATTAATTTTTATTCATTTTAAGTTTTACTTTTCTTCACTTTAATTTTTGCATGTCATTTTGGTGTTAATTAATTTTTGTTTTTACGCTTTCTTGATTTTTGCATGCTATTTTGATATCAATTAACTTTTACTTTCATGTTTTCTTTCCATCTTAATTTTTGCTTGCTGTTTTGCTACCCCAACTTATTTCGTGTTTTTTATTATTTTCCACCCTAACATTGGCGTGCCATTTTGATATTAATTAATTTTCACTTTCACCTTTTTTCATTACCTTAATTTTGCATGCTGTTTCGATTCTAATTAACTTTTACTTCAATTTGACATTACTTTTTTTGATATCACTTTTGATGTTACTCAACTTTTATTTCTACGTTTTTTTGCATGCTGTTTTAATATTGATTAAATTTCATTTCCACGTTTTTTAATCATCATGTTTTTGCCATTCTGATATTAATTAAATTTTTATTTTCATCTTTCTTTCATCTTAGTTATTGCATGCTATCTTAATATTAATTTACTTTTATTTCCACTTTTTTTTAATCATCTTATTGCATGCTATTTTGGTATTAATTAATTTTTATGTTCACTTTTTTTTTCATCTTAATTTTACATTCTGTTTTGTTAAACCAAATTACTTAGTGCCTTTTATTATTAACTTTTATTCCAACTTTTTTCGCCTTAACATTTGCATACCACTTTGATATTAATTGATATTTATTCACCTTAATTTTTGCCCTATTTCACCCTAATTTTTGCATGCCGTTTTAATGCTAATTAATCTTTATTTTCACGCTTTCTCATTCATCTTGTTTTTTTGCATGCTATTTTGATATCAATCAACTTTCATTTCCACTTTTTTTTCATCTTAACTTTTGCATGTTAGCTGCATCTATAATTGTTATAATCCATTTTATTGGAAATTATTCAAATGTACTAAAAATTTATGCTAACGATCAAGACTTACTTATTAATTCATTTTAATTGTTGTTTTAATTAATTTTAATCAATGGTTTATGGTTTTGATTCTAATTACTGGTTTATCAATTGACGGTTTTAATTTTAACTAATGATTTATTAATTTTAATTAACGATTTGCACTGACGACTTTAATTAGTGTATGCATTATTAAGGTTATCGATCATATCAATTTCACTTCTATAAGGCAAAATTCTTTGAATTTGCTCAAGCGATTTTCAGATAATTTAAACAATGCTGAAAACATACTTACTTTGCGAATGGTTTTACAAAGTTCGATGCCACTCGTCAATAAAGGTTTGTGTTTTTGAATTTTGGCATTTCGGAGCATAATTCCTCGGTATTCTTTATTGTTGAAATAAACATTAATTTGCGCTACTTATTCTATATTCGTGTCCCTCACAAAATGATTTTTAAATTTCGCTTTTACAGATATTGCAAGCAATTTGTTAAAATACGACAAGAAATTGGGGAAAAATAAAATGTGTTTCGAATGGTTTAATAGTCGTTTTGTTGATGCATTAGTAAATGGTTATTGGATTTTGATTGAAAATTTTAATTGTTGCAGGTTACTTTAGTCGATAAAAACTTTACTTAGGGCTGTACCTTTATATCAACTGTTACTTTTTCATTTTTTGGTGCTGCAATACTGAACTGATTAAATAGCTATTTAGAAAATAATGAGAATTGAATTTGCAAGATTGAATTTGAATTTGTTGAATTCGGAATTGAATTTGCAAGATGTAATGATCGTGTTTCTGTTGTAAAAGCAAGTAATGATTTCCGGTTGCTATTTGTTGGTTTTAATTTTTTGCTTGACTTCTGGAATGATCATTTAGAGTATTGAAATATTGCTGAAAGTTGAGAGATCAAAGTTTCATATTTTTTTGCTCATATTTTCGATGTCATGTTGTCCAGACTGTAATTTTAACTAATTAAAAATGGTTTCACAAATTTAGCGTTTTCTTCACGATATATGATGATTACGGCAGTGTTTCACGGGCTGTGTGTAATCGTTCAGTGGAATTATACTTACTAATGAATGAGCTTGGTTCAAATTAACGCAAAGATCTGGTGGTATGTACTTATTATCTCTATTACCACACATTTTATTAGTAAGAGGATTCGATTTGTTGTTTTTTCTTAGAAATTTCTTGCTATAAGATAAGCTAATTTTTTGGTACTAACTTGGATGAAAAGAATTTTCTCATCCCTTGTCACAATAGTTATACTTCATATTTTAAAACATTTTTTACTTTTCTTTTGTAAACTTTGTTTAAGATATTCTAGATTACACCATCTGTATTGCAATAGATTACACCATCTGTATTGCAAGCAGTTTTCATGCTAATTTAAAGATACTGTTGAAGGAGAAGGATGTGG